CTATCACATCTATCTTGATCACGTCTATTCTATCTATCTATCTATCTATCTATCTATCTATCTATCTATCTCTATGCATATGTAGAGGGGATTTATTAGAGAGGCTTACAGGCTGTAGTCCAGGTAGTCAGCCATCAGTGGCTGTCTCACAATAGAAAGGTCAATGAATAGGTAGTTTTTCAATCCACCAGACTAGATGCATCAGTAGTCCCTGCCTGATGCTGGAGTCCTGGAGGATCCCAAAGCACTGCTGGTCCTCAGTCTGCATCAGAATCCTGAAGAAGTAGCTTCTAATATCAGCAAAGGTATGTCCTGGTAACAGGATAGATAAACTTGTCAGTGAGGGAAGGTAGCCAAAAGAGGGATCTGTCACCAGATGTAGTCAAGGTGACAATCCTGACAGACCTCTAGCTGGAAAATGCACAGGATAACTGTCCAGTGTTGAATATGGTTGTTTTCCATTATAGCTTGATTTATTTGCTTATTTAGACGATATCCACACACATGGAAGACCCTAGAAGGGCACGAAAGCCGAAGAACCCACAAGTCCACCCTGAGGACGGGAGCCGACCACTGACAGTCTATCTCTTCCTCCCAGGACAGCATGCACTGTTCCTTTAAGGGCCACTGTGAATGTTGTGTTTTCAGGTGACAGCCTCCCCATGTTTTCCCAGTGAAGTTAATGAAATGTCACTGGTGCTCTCCCTGCACCTCCTGTCTCTCACACAGTCGGGCTGGCAGGTCCACGTGCTCTCCTTTGATCTATTTTTATGCCACCACATAATAATTCATCCTCCTAAATATATCCATCATCCTGGATTTGCATTTTTTTATTAAGTCGCCTGCTTGCCTCCCATCATTTAATCAGTGTTGACTCGACTCAGGGAACAGCCTGACAAGATGTGGATCCAAGTCTTGCCTCTGGCAGTTTGCCTGCTCTGTAACTTAGGGTGATCTTCGCCTATCAGTCCAGATCTCAGTGTGCTCATTTGTAAAGTGTGTGTGTGTGTGTGTGTGTGTGTGTGTGTGTGTGTGTGTGTGTAAGGCATGCAGGTGTAGGTGTACATACATAGGTGTAGAGGCAGTGGTCAACCTCAGATTTCATTCCTCAGGAGTAACCCACCTTGGTTTTAGAGCCAGATTTCTCACTGGCCTGGAACTTGCCAATGCAGTTTGGCTAGATGGCCACTGAAACCTAGGGAAGCTACCTCCCTGCATCTCCCAAGCTCTGGGATTATACGCACTTATCACCATGCCCAGAATTTTACGTGCATTCTGAGGACTAGAACTTGGGTCTTCATGCTTGCATGATGAGCTCTTTACCAACCGAGCCATTTTCCTAGCCCAGGACCTGTGTGCTCACTGAGCATCCTCTGACAAGGCAGAAACACAACAAGCTTGTGGATTGTGAAACAGATCGACCCTGCCCAGCCTTTCCTTGATGGGAGGCCTGGATTCCCCACAGTATATCCAATATCCCCTGCAGCATGGACTTAGGTAGCTCAAAGTAGCAACAGAGCTGAGGTAGGGAAATTCTCACTGACCCACACGATGCACATAGATTCCTAACAGAGTTATTGGCACCTGAGTGTCATCCTTTGAACGAAGCTGGTGATGTCTGGACACAGTGACAGAACACTTTGCTGTCACTCACAGCCCTGGGTGGTACAGCAGATGTTCCTTCTACTCCGAGTCTCCTCACTCTTGGTCATGTACAGCTCTATCATACACCCCCACCCTCAAGTTCACACTGGATGACCAGGTCTTACTCGTCCAACGGGCAGCTCCTTGCATGCAAAGCATTTGCCTGGATTTTCTCTTGTCTCTCTCACTGTTTAGTGCTGTAGCTACACAAGGGATGTGTTCTGTCGCTTTCAGTAAAATCAGTCATGGCAGCTCGGTGGTAGAAATGCATTGTTATAGGGGTCCTGTGTTCAAGAAGGGTGGGGCTCTATCTAGTAAGAGGTACTGAAGAATGACAAGGTAATGAGGCCCTCAGTTCAAGCTCAACCCTCACAGAACACATTGAAAACGACAGAGTGGCCATCTCTAGGTCGGACCCTGTGAGAGGGAGTATTCTCAGAACTACTCAAGGCCATCTCCAAATACCTGTAAGAGCCTGCAGGCTTCCTGTCACTCCTGGATTTATCTTGGGAGAAAACACAAATCCAGCTAGGTACAGGGAGAAGCTGGGCCAGGGTTTGCAAACGCGTCTTAAGGAGGGTTATATCCTAGCAGAGAGCTTGCTATACCAGCATTTCTCTGTAAGGGGCAAGCGTCCAAAGTTTCTCCACCCACCTCAGTGAACCTTGAAAATGACTGTAAGAGAGATCCTTGTCCTTATTCCCTGGAGCCCAGATGTACATCGATTTCTGAATGTCTAAATCCCACCTCCCTCTGGTGTCCTGTTCGTACTGGATTTGTGAGTGTGCACTCCCCATTTTGTATGGAGGTAGGGTGAGGAACAAGGAAAGTTCACAAGTGCACAGGGCGGAGCTCATCATCCAGGTCTTTCTTTCACCATAGTAGCAACTGTAACAGTGGTGGTGCTAATGGCGTCCTCTAAGGCCTGAACTTTTACTAGATACTCAGTGCTTTTTCCACCTTAGCTGCTTATAACCCTCATCAAAATCCTCTGAGGTTAGGGCTGCTACTCTCCCCATCTTACACATGAACAAAGCAAGGCAAGCAGCATGTTTCAGGCATCATGACCAGTGTGTTTTGGATCCTGGGTGTAACCCCCATTGCTTTCTGCCCCCAGACCCTGTACCCTTACTCACACACTCCAGGACTCCAAAGGCACGGGAAGCAGCCTGACTCAGCCACCCTAGTCTTTTATCTGAAGTTCATTCCCACACCAGTGTTGGGACTTCGGTAACATTCCCTTGCCCCTTTAAGCCTACCTGGCTTGTCTGCAAAAGGGAAGGATGTGTGCATGGCCCTGGAATACATACCTCCTGATGCACGCAGATTTCCTTCCCTCCATGGGATCTGATTTGCAGAAAACGTAGTAAGACGTCTCAGTGCTGCAGCTCCTGAAAGCCACAACCCTGTGCACACAGTGTATTGGACAATGAGATGATGTCTTTTCCACAATGCTGTAGCAAGGGATTCAGATCAAAATTAGCAAGCTGTAATTTTACTGACTCCATCACTTCATTAGGACACACACCCATATGAATCTCTCTGTGCACAAAGGAAGGGTGGGATGATTATTTCATTCTCAGGAACAAATTCTCTTTAACCTTGACTCCTCTTACTGTGACAGACCCAGGGGCACTGTGGAAAGGACATTGTCTTTGGCCTCATCCTGGAGTTGGCTGAGACCTCCATCTCCAGTCTTCTTCCTCCCTCATTGCTTCCTGTTGCTCTTATAGGCTTGCCCTCCCTAGAGCTGTGTCCTCGTGTTGTGGCCAATCCCCAAACTTTCTCAAACCAAAGCTCTGTGGAGCGTATTTGGGTGGGGCTGAGCAGGATAGCAGCAGAGCGCAAACACCCTGGAATCTGGAGTGGAATAAGCTCGGGGGATTGGAGCTTAGAGTCCTTCAACTCTCTGAGCCTCCTGTTTCTTCTGCTATAGATGTGATAAAGTCCGCTTGAGAGTATCCCATCACTCATGCCCCTCCCCACGTCCACTGATATGGGAGGTCCCCCTCTCCTTCCTTCTGATCTTAGTCTATCAAATCTCATCAGGAGTGGCTGCATTGTCATCTTCTGTGGCCTGGTAAGGCTGCTCCCCCGCTCAGGGAGAGGTGATCAAAGAGCAGGCCAATCAGTTTATGTCAGAGACAGTCCCTCTTCCCATTACTATGGAACCCATTTGGACACTGAATTGCCATGGGCTACATCTGTGCAGGGGTTCTAGGTTATCTCCATGCATGGTACTTGGTTGGAGTATGAGTCTCTGGAAAGACCCCTGTGTTCAAATTTTCTGGTTCTATTGCTCTCCTTGTGGAGTTCCTGTCTTCTCCAGATCTTACTATTTCTCACTTCTTTCATAAGATTCCATGCAAAGAGTGTTCCATTAAGTGTGAACAGAAAAGGGTTAGCCAGTGCCTCACCCAAGAGGTGAAAAACCCTTGTAAAAATAAAGATTGTGCGTTTGGTTGTTTGTTTTCATTGTGTTTTGCTTTGCTTTGCTTTGCTTTGCTTTGCCATTATCTCTTGGAGCCCTACAGCTATTTAGGTGGAACATAAAGTCACAGCCCTGGGTAGCACCTGTCCATTACCTTGTTATGAATTTGGAACTGGAGTCATGTTGATGTATGTAAAAAAATAAAAATAAAAATAAAAGCTGAACAGAGGTGCATTTCTCTTTTCTCCCTCCCAGTCCTGATTTCCACTTTCTAAAATTCCCATTTTATTGCATTGTTTTCACTTGGCAGTTTGAAAAAAAAAAAAAAAAACCAGAGAATAATAAATGAGCCAAACTGAGCCGAACACACAAGTACTTCCACAGAAGACACAGGGCAGCCACCAAATGTACACAGACACTCCGTGCATTCCTATTTGGACATGCCTTTGGGCTTTTCACAGTGCAGAGCATCCTAATAGCAGGGTCGGGCAGGGTCTGAGGGGCAGGTGAGGTGCTGCAGACTCATGGCTGCAGAGAGGATGCTCAGAGGAGGCTGCAACCCCACATGCAGAACACAAGGGGGAGAGGCAGCTCCACTCAGAGCCAGAGAAGCTGACTCCACACCACCTCTCTGTGCTACAAAGCTGGCTCACCTATGGCCAAGGTGGTACTAATAAAGTTTTTGTTGAAAGCCCGCTGTGTATGGTTGACTTCAGACCTTTCTCTGTTTTTTTGTTTTTTGTTTTTCCTCCCTTGTGTGTGAAGCAATTGGCTCCTGGGACTGAGTGACCGAGAGAAAACAAATAACTATGTTTTCTTTCTTCTACTTTCTTCCCAGGGGACAGTGGGGCCAGAGGCAGGCTAGAAAAGGGCTTATGCAAAGAGTATGAAGGAAGCTTTTTGACAGAAGCCACAGAGGGGACAGCAAAGGGTTAGCTAGCTCCTCCCTCGATGAAGAGAAGTGAATGGAAATCGGATCAGAACCCAGGGCCTCCTGCTGTGGGTACATTCCTACCGCTGGAGCTGCTTTATTTACGTGTGTAAGGATATTTATGTGTCATTCTACGCGGGCGCACTAGATTAAAGGCTTTCAGGATCAAAGTGGCTGTGGTCAGGCGTGGTCCAAAGGCCTCCTTTGAGACTAGTGGAGCAAAAGTCTGCCAACCCATGAAACTCCGGTTACAGGGAGTTAAAGTAAACAAAGTCAGAATTAAAGGTACTGATTCCATACTACAAGGCCAGGGTGCATAAGCAACTGATTTTCAGTTATTAAAAACAATCTCCCAGAAGGCAAGGCACAGTTTGAAGTTGTGAATTGCATTGCTGTTTTGACAGTGGCTGGCATTTACTGAATACCTACTGTTTACCTCTTTTATTTTTGCTATCACCATCCTGTGGTTGGGGTGGTGGGGGTGGGGAAGTGGAGAGGAGCTTGTAGAGAAGACGTGGCTGTCCATTCATGCATGTGGGATGCAGAGAAGATGAAATTGTTCCCTGGGAGGTGGGGGTGGGGCAGACAGCTCCAGTTCTTCGGTAGCCACAACTCTCACTGACAGCAGCTGAATCTCTGGGAGTAGTAAGGGACAGAGTGAGGGGCAGAAGACAGGCCTCATGTCTCCAGGGATGGAAGAGTTCCCATTTCTGTAGCCTCAACAGCAGAGATAAGCAAATTCACTCACATGTCCATTGACTCATGAATTCCTACAACCTCCTGCTAGACACAGCCCCCAACCAGCCAGACAGGGGAGAAAGGCACACTCTACTAAGAATAATTAGATACTTCACAAGGAGATTAGACAAATCACCAAAAATTATCAGGACTGACAGAGAAGAGGGGAAGGATGCTCTTGTGTAGCCAGCGAGTGGAAATGGAATTGGAGGTGGGGCAGCCAGCCAAGGCTCCTCTGGGGAGGTGACACAGAGAAAGCAGGCTGGCAGGCTCTTTCCAGGCAGAGGAAAAGGCAGCATGAAATGCCACAGAGCAGTTGGATGGGGCTGGTCTATCAGGCCCACACAGCTGCTTTTGGGTGATGTTTTAAGCTGCCCTTTCACCACCTACAAAGGTAGCCAAGCTCATGGGGCCTCAGCCTTACACACTCTGAAACTGTGGAGGTGGCATGGGAGGAGAAGATGGTAGGGGATCTCTATGTCTGACAAGTACCAGGTGGTTCCCCAGTGCCCCTGGCCCTGCCCTCATCTTACTCCAGCAGATGGTGACATGGGGTTAATGACCGGAATCCCAGATCCCGCTCATTTTTATCCTGTTAACTGGACATTTGTGACTTGGTCAAGGCCAGTATCAAATTTCAGCAGCAGCAACAGGAGGGCCCAGGAATGAGTTAGCACAAACAAGAGAAGAGCACAGAGATGGGGTGTGGTTTCCCGAAGACCATACAGCAAGTTAAGTCTATCTCAAGGTCAGGTCAACCAAATTGGCAACCGAATCCCATGAGTCCATGCTTACAAACAGGCTTCTGTAGTTCTCACCTGGAAAGCAAGCAACAACAGTGGGTAAGGTTTTAAGAAATTGCTCATTAGGAGCTGCAGAGGTGGCTCATCTGTTAAGAGCACTGGGTGCTATCTCAGGGGACCTGGATTCAATTCCAGGCACCCACATGGAGGTTAACAAATATCTATAACTCTAGTCCTAGGGCTCTGATGCCCTTCCATGCTTCGAAGGACACCAGGCGTGTCCATAACACATAGACGTACACACAGGCAAAGCGTCCGTATGCATGAAAATGAATCAGTAAGTAAAAAAAAGGACTCATTAAATGCGTGGCTTTGTTTCACATCCCTCCCCGGTACGCCCTCCATAGAGAATTATTTGCTAAGACTTCACAGAAGAAAGGAAAGAAACGAGACTTGTTGCTGTAAGAGTTTGTTTATAAGCCACACTTGGGTTAACCTTTCTTACCGCAATGAGGAACCAGGAGGAAAAGTTCCACAAGAAAGCCATGGGAGTTTGAAATAATATAACTCCATCTGCATGTTAGAAAGAACACTTTTTTTTTTTTTTTTCTAATTACAGGTGATGGGAGCAGCCACTAGTATCTAGTACATGTTAAGTAGCAAATTAGCTTGGGAGCTGATTATAGGGCCCACGCTGTCTAACTCTGCCATTATCTTCAGGAGCAAGAGAAAACTGTACAGTGCCCCGGAGCCTACAGGGAGAGTGACATTTAGGGCAGGCCCTAGGGCCCCCCGAGGTTGGAAAAGAGTGCCCCCTCCTGGTACCTCCGAGCAGCAACACAGAGAAAGTCATTAACACATCCATTTATTTGTTCTTAACCAAATAAATAGATTTGCTATAGCAAAACTCTGGGCACATGGGCTAATAGGAGGTTAAATTGGCCAATTATCAGATGAATTTATCTGGACATTTTAAAAAAAATATTTAGTTGTGCAGTGCACAAAAAGACCATTATTAAGCACAATTAGGGCAGTGCCTAAAAAACTGGGCCAAGTAGACCCACTCTAAACCTGATGCCTGTGCCCTCTGCATGTGCCCCCACAGCTAAGCAAATTGGGGAAGCTGATTGAGCCTACAAATGTTTAACAACTGAGCATTACAAAAGTATTTTTTAAGAATTGGACGATATCTAATGTTTGTGCGTAAACTACGGTGTTAATTACAAAAGATTCTTACCAGCTAAAGAGGGCCATTAGCAGGAACATTTTACTATGCATCTTGCAGAGTAACTAGCTGTGACAGAGAGTGGTATGATGGTATCTCTGGAAAAACACTGTCCATCTTCAGTTCAGTGATAGTATCATGGTGTCTGGTACAGATCTGAGGACTGCATCTCCCAGCTTTGACTTCCCTGGTTTGACTGTCGGCAGTTCTAGTTTTCAGCGATGGGTCCATGGATTAAGTAGCCCTCCTCAGGTTCTTCTGTGAAATGGGCTCAGTGATGCTCTTGCCATTTGACAGATCCAGCACAATGAAAGCCACCATTAGGGTGTTTATCCTCTGGTCCTCATCCACCCTAAACTGCCTAGCAAGTTCTGAGAAGACCCTGGCATCATCTTTAGGCTGTGGAAAAGAAGCAGAAGAAAAGGAAGAGCATATTTGACCTTGGCCTTTCAGATATGCAGTACCTGAGGCAAATAACACCTTTGAGAGTTTTAAATGGTTCCCCAGTCACCTGGAAGAGAATACCAAACATCAGCAAAGCACCTTCTCCCAACATTTATCAAGAGTGTTAACTGTTAAGTGTCTAAATTGTACAAACACTTCATAACTTCATCAAGTTTCCTTTGCCATTCCAAAGCCCCACTATTGTGGAGGAAGGGAAATGAAAGTTGGGAGACGTTTAGGCTCTTTCTCCAAGGTCACAGAGCTGAAGGAGGCAGAGCAAATGGGAGATGCAAACCCCCAAGCCTGCGTGTCTATACAGAATACTGCCCTGACATGCTTATGAGCGCTCCGGGATGAAGGAGCGGTGAATGGGCTTACATGGGGTGATGGGATCTACTCTAGGACCCAGCTCTGCACCTATGGGAAATCATGTCTGGACAGAGAGAAACTAACTCCAGGAGAAGAAGAGGGGAGGTGGAAGCGCATAGCATGGGTAATGGTTGGTGGGGAAGGGACAGAATGTGGCAGAAATCGTATTACGTGGAGCTGATCATCAGAGCTGGCATGGAATCCCTGTGTGTCTGTCTCCACCTTCACTTCCCTGAGCCGTGACATATCAATAGTAGGACGTGTATTTTATTCTTCTTGTTCTTCCCCAAACATAGTGTCTGAAACAGAGTTAGAGAGGAGCTCACTTATTAGTCAGACTGATGAGCCAAAGGTTGATGAGAAAAATCAGGGAGTCTTCTGCCTGTGAAGCCCAGACTGTGGGAAAAAAGGGGGCAAAGAGGGGTGTCATTTGAGCCAGAGAAAGCAGGGAGGGGATCTACACATGAGAGGGGGTGGGGGGCAGAGTGGGGGCAACTGGGATGGGAATCCTTTACTAGAGTTTGGATGGAGAATTTTGGTTCTGCTTTTTAAAACCTGTTTCAGAGGTGAACATACCCAGGAGTCCTGGCTGTGTGATTTGGATGCAGACCTGAGTTTTCTCTCCTGTAGGATGGGGCTACAGTCAAGAACATTCACTTGCTGAGGTGACCTGGGTTTGGTGTCCCCCACCCCAACCCCGGTTTACAAGCCTCTGCTCTGTTGAGGCCAGGACTCTGGGTTAGCAGAGGCACAAGGCCCCTCTGTCTTGGTCATCTGCCTAATTGTCATGCCATTGGTAAAGTGTCCTGATTGATAAACTGCCAAGGCCATGCCCCACATGTCATCTTAGAGTGCTTTCCGGGAACTGTCTCAGTGGACCTTTAGCAGGAGGCTGGATGGGACAGAAGAACATTTCAGAATGGCCATCAGCCTTGAAGAAAATGATCCAAGCAGCCCCCTTTTCTCCATCTTCTTAAGCCTGGCATGCCTTGGAGATGCCAGCTTAGCTTTCCAAGACTCTTGCCTCCATGTGGCTCTGTCCCAGCTTGGCCAGTGGCTCAGATTGGCTACTCTAACTTTCAATTCATTCCACTCTTATGAGAATTTATCCCTGATTCAATAGATGCCAACCACTTGATCCCTGGCAAGGGGCAGGGAGACAAGCCACACCTATCAGCCAGCAGGGGTCTGACTTACAAGGGATTTCAGGAAGCTTGAGCTGGGAGGCTGAGAGCCCATTCTCTCTTTCACCTACAACTCCAGCTGTGATTCCATCTGGCACATCCTGGGACAGAGCACACACACACACACACACACACACACACACACACACACACACACACACACAC